ATAACTGACACAACCAGCAAACCTACACCATCCACTACCACTAAAAGATCTGTGTTTGAAAATAAACAAACACAGTCATTTAATATTCCTGAAACAGGCTCTAACAGACCAATTATTTTACCAAATCCAAGTGGAGTGCCATGGAAAGCTGAAGAAGAAGTTGTAGGTACAACTGAGGGAACAACTGAGTTTCTGATTATAATTCCTCAGTGGTTTCTGATGATGATGGTGAATCCTATCGTAACGATTTTGAAGATAGTAATAAAACTGTCCAAAAAGAAGAGCCGCCGGTTTATGTAACGACAGACATAACAACAAACACAATTCCAATTAGTACCTATACAACAAACATATTGAAAAATATACCCATTAGTACCACATCCACTACATCCACTACATCCACAACAACTACACCACCTCCAAGTACAACGCCAGAACCAAAAGGCATTGTCCCTAATACTAAAACTGATATAAAAAACAATTCAAAGATGAGAAATCAGAGAAAGAAACATGAATGTAACAGTTGTATATCGAACTACTTCAAGTTCAAATAATAACACTTTAGTTTCTGGATCCAAATTATCTACAACAGAAAAAACAAATACACCTTCAGCAATTCCCAGTACTAGTCCTAAATATCCTAGCATTATTTTTGAAACTACGATACATCCCAGTAGTACAAAGAGCACTCTTCGAATACCTGCTAATATAACAGAGAGTATATCTCATAATAATTTTAGTTCTACTTTATCAAGCACGATACCAGCACCAAAACCTACAAGTTCAGCAAAAGTTAATTATATGGATTACGCAGCTTCAAATAAAGCACCATCTTCCTTACCATCTAGCCTTGAAACAGAAAATCCTGTTACTGCAAAAAGTACTAGAAACAGATTTATAGCAGCTGTAAAGGAAAACAAAATCACAACTTTATGTTTCTGGATAAGTTTACAACAGAAAGTGCTGAAATAAAACCACAACAACTTATGACACAATTCTCCGGAATAACAATGAAGTTTATAATGGAAATACATAGGATAAACTTTGCCACATACGTTTTGGCCGGACTGGGACTGGTACCAGTAATTCTAATCACAGTTTACGTTGTGTAAAACTGCTTAACAGAGCCAAAAAGTTACCTGAAGATTTGGAACATTGTGCAAAAGACAGCACCCCTATAGCCAACACTGCCGTTGATGACGATTGTGATCTATATTCTGTTACTAGTGAATATCATTTCGATAGGACGAATTTGAGATTCAAAAGTATTTTGGGAGAAGGTAATTTTGGACAAGTGTGGAAAGCAGAAGCTGATGATCTTACCGGTCATTTTGGGTCTACAAGAATTGTGGCTGTGAAAGCAGAGCGGGATGAAGGTGGTCCAGGATTGAGAGCTGAGGCCGAAATTATGAAGAAATTGGGACAACATATTAACGTTGTAACATTATTGGGATTGTGCATGGAACAAGGTAAGATATAAATGGTAAACTTACAGACATAGGTAACATCCAATAAAATACATCTTTATTTGCAATGTAAAGAATATCGAAACATACATAATGAATTTGAGAAGCTTTTATAAACAGGTATTTGGCTATATCAAAACATTTATTCTACAATGAATAAATTCTATTAGATCAAGATAAATCAAGCAAAAAGTGATATACAACAGGTTTAAATATTTTATGTTCTATCAATTACCTTATAAACATTTTCAAAATCATGTTTCGTTATTAATTATCACTTTATTAACAATATTTAAACAGAAATGCATATAATTCATATAGTGAATATAAATTCAAATATAATACGAACTTATTTCATCAAAATTTCAGAATTATTATAACTAAAATTTAATTTTCACAATTTTATACGGTATTAAGGGGCACAACTAGTGTGAAATTTTCAAAAAATGGAATTTTCAATTTTTTCATATTTCGATAGGTTTAAACGCGTTTTTCTCGAAACAGCATTTTCCGAATTTGCTGCAGCGATTACTCAAAAACAAATGATCCGATCACTATCAATTTTTTTTACATATTCTATATATAGTTCTCCGTAAAATAAACTATTGATTTTTTGATCGGATCAAAAATCGAATTTTGGCAGTCCAAAAACGACCAAAATTTTGGGTAAAATTCGACTTTTTTAAAAAAAATGCCTTCATTTTGTCAATTTTTATTTTTTTCTTTATCGTAGTTCATTTTACAGACAATATTATCTTGTTTAACGAGATTTTTTTTTAAATTTCATCCACGTAGAAGACCGGAATTACTGCAGTAGTGAAGGGCCTTTCTTTGTGCCGCCGTTGGAAATCGATAACTTAAAAAAAAATTTTTTTTTTCTTCAAAAATTTTACTATGTATTCTTAAAACTTGTATAAATATATTCCTGAACTTTTAAAATGATTGATAAAGTATTTTTTTTTAATATAAATTTCCAAAAATCACCTCTTTTTTAGGCGGTTACACTAGTTGTGCCCCTAAAATCTCAATTTTCATTAACTGGGTCACACATCTGGCATTCGATGCTACTTTTCTGGATACCACTTACACCTAATCTTTAATTAATCTTAATATGGATAAAATTGCATCATTTTCATCATTTCATCAATTAAAATTAACATAAAAAATAAACAAATTAACAAGGAGTTATAAAGAAATGAATAGTTGATATAATAAATTAATCATTTCCAAGGTAACCTTTGATATTATTTTTTATAACTTAATATAGTAGTTTAGTTTCTAATACAGATTATTATAGAATGATATTCTATAGATACTTGACAAATTAAGATATAATTTTATGCAGAGCATTAACAGACGTCTATCCTAACCAATTAGCATGTCGTGTATACCTGGAAAACCAGACGGATCTAATATAGTTTAATTAACTATAATACTTTCATTTTACTATAATTTATTGATCTTTCACCTTTAGCTTTTAGTTTCCATTATAATATTTTAATTAGCTCTATTAAATACGCTACTGGGAGTATCTATTATACAAATTTTTAATCAACTATTTTACCATATACTTGTCAGCATTATCTACTTAATATACTAATATATACAGATTAAATAATGTGTAATGTGTAAATAGTAGAGCAAATAAATTTTTATTAAAAAAAATTACATGCATCACCCGAGATGCATAGATATAAGTGCAATGAGATGCAAACAAGACGTTACATAATTTACAAATAACAATGGGCAATAAAATTATATCTGTATTAATAATACACGGATATAAAACATATGTATTATTATTATTAACACATGCAATGTATATTAACATAATTAATATTCTAATTCCAGTATTCGTATTACCATTTAATTATGTTATTTCAGAACCTCACCTACTAATAATGGAGTACGCAATGCGCGGCCGCTTGCTGAGTTTGCTCCGAGCCTGCAAAGGCCCTGATGGAATTCGCGAAGAGCGCGATCGAACGCCTCCTATTGCAAATATCCAACTGACCGGCTTTGCTCTCGACATAGCCAAAGGAATGGAATACATTGCTGCTAGAAAGGCCAGTAATAGTAATAGTAATAGTAATCTATATTATTTATAAATAAAGCAACGCGTGCAACACACTTTTACTTTCCGACAAATGCATTGTGACTTCAAGCGCTTTCGAACTTGTTCGAGATTCGTCATAGTTATCATTTTTTAGTCATTACTCTTCAGATATCATTACTTTACTTTTTACAAAATTTTTTTCTTTAATTAATATTGTTTTATATTAAATGTCCAGTCCGTGCTCCAAAAGACGTATTTTTAGAATATTTTCATCAAACTGTACTATTACTTTCTGAAGCTACTTTCAAACTGGTTGGATGTGATCTACTTTACACATATTAATCGTTTTTGCTAATATATTAATAAAACAAAATTCGTAGTCTAGACGGTTACTCTAGAACGATTTCTATTAAAATTCATGACCATTTTTACCATTTATGTTGCGAGAACTAGAATGCAGGCGTAAGATTTTGAGAAGTAATTTATATTGATATTCATGTGATAGTCATCAGTATATAGAAGATAAATATAAATTGGTAGTTTTATATCCAAATTAAAATTTGTATACACTTTTAAATTTTTACTCTGTATAGTTTTTCGCAAGTAATTTTGAACGTTATAATTACAAAATTATAATTTTTCAGAATAGCAATACTTTAACCCTTTCCACTCGGATGCCGCAGCTCCGTCGGCAAAATTCATATAAATCTCACAATTCTCGAATGGAAAGGGTTAAAATGAGATTTTATTGTAAACGGTTTGGATGTGATTTAAGTTTAGCATATTAATTATTTTTGATATTATATTAATAAAAAAATTCGTAGATCAGACGGTTACTTTAAAACGATTTCTATTAGAATTTATTAGATTTTGAGAATAGTCATTTATTGCATATATAGATCTTGAATATAAGTTGCTAATTCTGTAGCAAAATTAAAGTTTTGTTAACTATAAGAGTGAAATTTCTAAGGCTTACCTTGTAAAAATATTATTTTTAAAAAAGACACTAAAATGTAAACTCTGATGGGATATAAAAAAATCTAGAATAATTCTAAATTACCCCTAAACTTAGCTTGACAAGATTGCATATGAGAGCAAAGAAATGGCAAAATTACATTGGATTTAATTAAATATAAATATTTTCCAAAATGATACATTTTCTACCACACTATTGTTAATATTTCATCATAAAATTTTTTGAATCAATTTTGTAGTATAGAAAACATGCCATTTACATGTTTTCACTATATAATTTTCTAGATCTACCTCTCTTATTAGACGAAGTATGAAAACATTTTTCACCTCTAATAACATATTATACATAATAAATCAAAGTACGTCAGCAGGATATACACGTCATGAATATCATATTATTACAGATAATTACTAAAGTTTCCAAACAATACCTTTAAGAATATGCAAAAAAATCGACCTTTTTGAAGAGCTATTGTTATGTGTCTATAGTACAATCCTAATATATAAATGGATATAGAAAATTCTCTATATGGATTTTAAATAATTGTATCAAAATAAGAAGAAATTTGAGAATGCATGTACCTAGAATGTTCTGTGTTATTTAATTAAGTGTTATGGCTTGTAGACTATTGTAGCACGATTCCCATAAAAATATTAATAAATATAAATCTGCCTAAAGACAGGTCCATGGTATGCGATGATCAGAAATTAAAGATTCTCTTTTCTTTCCTTGTTTATTATTCTCATTACAAATTTTATTTACCTTAATCACCTTTTTGCACTCTTATAAATTTATGATTCTTTCCAAAGTTCTGCTTCCATGTTTCCTAATCCTGTGCTTCGTTTACCTATTTCTTATATTTTTACCCAATTTAAAAAAATCACTTCTATAAACAATTTTGCATTTCAATTCCTTGAGAAATGCAGTATTCATTGGATCAATATAGACTTGTCCTTCCTAATAAACCAAAGATTATCGCTGCAATCGCTTGTTGCCATTATTATGAATGATTCACAAAAATAGTTATTTAATCTATAATTAATATCAAGTACCACATGCATATAGTTTTTATTGTATATATCATATTGAGTCATGCACAATAAATATTTTCTAATTATCGAAGAGAAGGCTGCCCACGAGTATGCATAAGAACAATAGATTTACCTGATGTTTAATATTCACAAGATTGATATGCATTTAGCAATCATTATATGACTAAAAATATTGGTAATGCTATTTAATGGGATTGGGAGACTAAATTATATGTTATTTAAGTATAATTTAGATATATTGTTATCATAAATCCTAACTCGTTCTTTAAGAAATATTATAAGGTGATCTAATCAAATCGAATTATCAACAAATTAGAAATTTTTCACTGTGATGATGATTCTTTACCTTTTAACTTACCTCTGTCTTTCAATTTCATTTCTCGAATTGCAGATAGTACATCGAGATTTGGCTGCTCGAAATGTGTTAATTGACCACAATGGGGTTTGTAAAATATGTGACTTTGGCATGTCTTTAGACCTGGGAACGGCGAAGGTAATCTCTCTTCCCAGTGGAGCAGATAGCGCCCGCCGCAAGAGAAGAAGGCCTTTGCGCAGGCTGAAATTACCAGAGTCGAGGACAGTAGGTTAGTAGTTATTTTATAAATATTGATTTGTAATTTATAATTTTGAAGTTGGTAATAATGGGATAGTTACTTGTTTCAATTTTTTTTAATATATATTAATTTATAAATCTTTCCTGAAATAGACAACAAGTGAAACTGTAGGAGTTTGGATGATCCTCGAGACAGTTTTTGTAACTGCCTAAATGTGTTCTTATTTCATTGTTTTTCTATTGTGTTTATATCTTTGTTGTGTTCTCTAAGTAATTTATTTTGGCATCCTTCAATTTTTATTAAGTTTGATTTGGAAACTGATCCCCATAGTTGTACACCGTATGTCCAAATTGGCTTAATAATAGTCAAATTGTAATTATAATTATGAATTTTAAAGTTTTTTTCTGCCAGTCCAGCACAATTGTGTGATAAATGACGATATCAACGTCTTAAATAAATATTGAAATATTTTTGCGGTTTTGCAATGACCGCAATTCACCAAAATTAGGTCTTGTTAATTTAATTTCTTTATTATATGTCACAAAACATTTATGCAGTTTACTTGGTCTCATTTATTTGCTATTGAGATTTGGGGTATGTAAAACATACTGAATCATGATTTCTTGACACAATTTTTGTATTTACTTTATTTATTTAGAGTGCAGTAATTTGCAACCTTTGTGTACAAAATACATTTAATTTAATTTTAATTTAATTTGCAATACATGAGACTTTTTTATAAGATTTAACAGTATACTTTAAATGAGCTTAGCATATAAAATATATTTTTTATATATAGAATAGATAGAATCTCACTAATCCGGCAACATTAAAAACCAGACAGTGCCGGATTACTGGATTATAGTGAAGAAGTCATAATTTTTAATATATGATATTGGAAATAGCGGAAAATTTGACCAATTTTAAAAAAATGTTCAGTGCTTTGGTCGTCCAGGGTATTGGATTGTTGGAGGTGTCGCTCTATTAATCTACTTATCTAATTAATTTCATAATTGATTTTTAGCAGGTGCTAATACAAGACAAAGACCAGCAATGCCCATCAGGTGGATGGCACCAGAATCGCTACAAATGCATCTGTATAGCACAGAGACAGACGTTTGGGCATTTGGAGTTTTACTCTGGGAAATTTTCACGTTGGGTAAGGTTTTAAATAATTGAAATTATGTGAATTTCTTCTCAGATTTATTAAGGACGTAGGTTTTAAAATCATAAAGGCATATAATCAATTTTATGCAAACTTGATCATAAATAGATTGAGTAAACTCTAAATTCAATTGAAGACGTGTCTGAACATTTATTAAATCCCATAAAGCTGCCATTATCTACAGACAACCGTTACCATTAGTAAAAGCACGTTTTATAGTTATTGGTTGTATTGAATTTAGAAACACAAAATCTATTAATAAATTCTATAATATCTAACGTTCTACAATTAAATTATATGATGATTTTATGGCGCATTTTGAATAGCTAATTTATTACTGCTATTGCGTTTTCAACAATTAATTGTTTAAATACCATTTTCTAATTGTAAGATCAATTCGTATAATTGATCATAAATAAAAGAATTTGGATTTCATCAAGAATTTAATATGCGTGTTGCAAAATAGCAAGAAACGAGCCAAGATTTATTATAGTACAAGAAATTCAGATTTTAATTAGTTGATGTTGATTGACATTTAATTACTCCGCTTTAATACTACAGAACATTAGTAAGTATAATTTCACCTGTTACATAATAAAAGTTAATGTTACGTTGAGTGCAGATGATTTATGATTTATATAAAAAAAAACATTGAAGTGGTGGTGTTGGAGGTTCAAATGGAAGGTTGAAGGAGTTTAGAGAATAAATACAGCCATTATGATAAAAAAAATTCTTTATCTCAGGCTGCACGCCTTATCCAAACTTAAGTGGTCGCGAAGTTGTTCGCCTGGTGCCTTCTGGTCTGCGGCTCGAGAGTCCTCGTAGATGTTGCGGAACTTTGCTGAATCTGATGTCCAGGTGCTGGAAGTCGGACTCGGCACAAAGACCGACTTTTGCCGAAGCCCGGCACGATCTGACCGCCCTGCACCGTGCAGAGTCTGCCGCCCTGGACGCCATGGACGATGCCTCAACGACGGACTGTTTTGATGTCAGTGGATTCAGCGAGGACTACGAAAATGGAGTTGTGTATTTTGATAGGCGGATTTCGGAATTTGAATGTGATATTTGATTTAGGCTCAAATTGCACATCGGGAAAATCAAATTATTATCTAGCTTTGTGCAATTGGGAGGGAACATCGATTTGCAGATACTTTCTTGAGCAAATATTTTTATATTTATCAAATGCATAGTATGGAAAAGTCTCTAGATACTTTGGTCTAGTACCTGGATTATAGCGAAATTAGCCAAATTTTCAATTATATAAACAGAAAATTATTTAGGCTCAAATTGCACATTGGCATTGAATTTGTCCGAAATTGATATTTCTAGCTTCGTATAATTGTTATTAGAAGCATTGATTTTTTTTTGGAATACAAAAAGGCGTTCAAGTGAAGGAAAAATTGATTTGGAGATAATACTTGAGCAATATTAAAAATTTATGGCAAATTTGTTAAATTGATGCTTTGTTTTAATATACCTGCATTAGCTCATTTTTCAATCATTTGCAAAGAACAAGTTCTATTTATTCGCAAAGCTGGAATTTTTGTGAAACATTCCAAAATTTTTGTAAATTGATATGTTAAATAGTATTATATATTTAATTTGTCGTTGATATCAATTCAGAAAATAAATGACTTGATAATTGGGCGAATTATTGTAAATTTTGAATATTTGTTAGTTAATAATATATAACGTTAAGTTCTTAAGAAAACCATTTAAATTTTTAAAAATTGAATAAATAAGAATACAAAATATTTATATTCCAAATTTTGCTTAGAAAGCATATTATTAATATTATTATTATATTTACATTCATATTTATTATTAACCTGAGAAATTATGATAGAATTGATTTAGGTAGATTAGGAGTATGAATAAGATATGCACTGTTTATAATTTATAATATGTGATAGAAGTTATATATTTTATATTACATTAAAATCAGTATATTTTGAATATTCTAATATGAAAATATTGTGCAGCCGATAGCTATTTTGCAATTTTAAACAGTACAAATTCTACAAAAAGTGGAAAGAGATACTTTATTGATCCAAAATGACTTGTAAATAAACAAAAATTTATATAGAGTAATTGGAAATAGTCTGATATATAATTATTCATGTTATATTTGCATTATACAGTTAATGTTTAAAATATTTTTGAAGAATTTATTTGGATTATGATCCAAAATTGTCAAAATCAACCAAAGATGTTGAATGACAAAATTTATTTTAAATATATGTACATATTGTTTTACAATGGAGCACTTGAAAAATAGTATTACTACATTGATACGTTATTTATAATCAACATTTTAATATTATTTTGCTTCATGATTTTTCATATCATCACACTCACATCTAAAAAATTGTATATAAAATTATAGTTTGATGGCTAGCAAATGATTTTGCTAAAATGAATATTTTATTCTATGGACAATATTTTAGCATTTCAATTTTATTATTCATCAGTTAAATATATGAGCATTCGTTCATAGCTCGTTATTTTAAAAGAATATGAATTACTATATGGACCAAAAAAAATTAAAGGACTGCGTTACAAAATAATTTAAAAAACTTAAATATAGCACTGTATAAATTAAAAATATTATGTAAAGAATATATTAACTATAAGTTTAAGAAATACACATAGAATGTGCTACAGAATATCGCAGTATTGAATCTTAACAAATTAATTAATCGGAATTAAAAAATTAAATATATATATTTATGTTCTAGTCTTGTAAATTAAATTACACATGATTTGTAATAAATTAGCCTTTATGACAAAATGTTGATAGTTGTATTTGTAATATGTTTGTATTTTCAGAAATAAAAAAATAAAAATATTCAACGTTTTTTGAAAGATTTGTTATATTATTAAAATTTATATGCTAATAATCTCAACTTTTGATGTTTTCTTTTAGGATTTTATGAAGACTGAAAAATTCAGTTATTACATATATCGCAGAATGAAGTAAAATATAAATCATTTGATTTAGAAGAATTAATATATATTTAGTTGAGGAGAGAAATGAGATGTGGAAATATATGAATATTTTGATATCTGAAACACCTGAATGACTACTACTATTAATACTTGTGTACAAACAGGTATGATAATACAGGTGAATTATTTGTTGGTACAAATTTATATATATATATATATATATATATATATACAGTTAACAAAATTATTTATATGCATGTACGTGTAAATATTTTTTTAACCTTGTTAAAGTATATCTAATACAATTTTTTACTTCTCAAAGACAAAGTTTATGTTTTTGCCAGAAAATCCCAATCGTTAGTTGCAGGCTTTCTCAAAGTTTTTTAGTCATTCTGAATCGTTTGAGACCAAAATTGTAGAAATTATGTGAGCTGAAAGTTTACGTTTTTTCCGAGGGGTCTGCACCAATTTTAAAATTGATTTGATAAATCTGGATGAGGAACCGCGATGATTATTTTTGCTAAGCATTTTTTTAGAATTAACAAGAAAGTGCAAAATAAGTATTCCAGGTTTTTGTCAAAAATACTCAATAGATTTTGAAAATTCGAAAACTTTTCAAAAATATCAGTTGGAAGACATGTTGGTTAATTTTTGGCAAATATTAGTCGGTCTGCTTCTTCGCAAATAGTACACACAAAAAATGACAATTTCAGGGAAAATTGATCAGGGAGTATGGTAATAAAGTTCATGATTTTAATGAACATCTTACAATATCATAGTCTAAGACAAATGGTTCAATTATTATCATTCATGAAAACATGAAATAATGAGCTGTGATTTCAGGACATACACTAAAAACGATCTAAGTACAGATTTTATATGTTTGTTTGAAAGACCAAATTTTTCATTAATTAAATCGATTATTTACACATGTCGATAAGTTCATGCAACTCGCTTTGGTAGAATGCCACTTAAACCTTGTTTCTAAAAGATTCTTACATGTTGGCATAAATTGGAAATTCTTTAGAACATTTGTTTCATCCAACAAACGTTTGCAAATCTATTACTGATGATAAATTATGTTCTAAAGCACAGTAAACCTAGATAAAACTTGTTTATCATTATAAAAGTGACCGCGTGTTATTCGCTCAAAACCGGTGAGAAATTGAATGCTAACATTGATGTTTTTCAATATAGTTTTCAAAAGTCTCATTAAAAAAATTAATCGACCGATCATTGCCAAAAAATAATCAGGACCTTCCCAGGCTGCTCCCCAAATGGAATTGAAAACTTTGGATGGATAATAATATAATACAGTATATTATTTATCATGGATCATACATTTATCATTTATCCATACATTTATAGTTTATATTATATTAGATTTGTCAGTTTGTTTTCTAATCAAGATCATGTTCTTGACGGATGTCCTGAAGATGACAATAAATAACGTCGACAATAAATAATATTTTTTTAAAAAAACATTTTGGTTTTTTTGTTATTTGTTGATGTCCTTATTTGAAAATCAGCACAACAATATATAGGATATACTTTTGTTTAAAATTTTAGAAAAACTAGAACCTTGTTTATAATCAAACTGCACATCAGTAGTATGAAATTGAGCAATCATGTTGTCAAGACCTTTGGAAGCAATTTTATCCTCATTCACCAAGTATTTTACTTGTCATTATTAAATCGACTCTATATTACATATTATTAGATTCTTCACCTGTCCAGTAGATTCATTTATTGGAGGTAAATTAGTCATCTGAATAGCAACTAGATATGTAACTTTCACTGAAAGTTGTCTGATTTGCTTCATCAAGTTGATATCGGATCGCATTCGATTATTTTTCTACCGCTGCACTGGTGCAGGAAAAATTGAAACATGTTTTTGAATAAGTAAAAGTAGTAAAAGTTAGAAATACCTATGTAAGTATTGCAAGAAAAATAATAAGAAGAACTTGCACTTGAACCTGAATTCATTTCTAATAGTTGCTGCAAATTTCATGGTTGGGAAATCAATCTTTAGAATAGGTAGATGGTAAAGCGATTGAATTTGGAATCTTGATTTTTATAGAAAAAAAAATTAAATTTTCAATTGTGGGTTCTAGTTTGCTTAATGGATATTGTTCTTTTTGTATGAAGTATCCCAAAAGGGATATTAATTTTATGGCTCTATTCATTTATATCTTGCCAGAGTAGTTCTTTTTCAAACTTTCGTATGGGTATAATACCTATCAGATTTTTTTTTTTTTTTTTAAAGTAAGGGTATAATATATTATAGTATGAAGCAAAATTTAGAGCAAAATAATGTTAAAATTTTCTCTCTATTGTTCAATTTTTTGGCATAAACATATAATTTATTTCAATATTTTTTTATTAGTTTATTGGCTTCTATGTAATATAAAAACGAGCTTTTGGAACTACATAGAATAGTTATCAAGATAATAAAAATAAAATATTTTATATAGCTACAAAAGCTGAATACGTTGAAAAGTTGTTTTTTTGGTTGACCAATTATTATATAATATGAAATTATTTCCTAAGATTTTGGAGCTCTATCTAATATTGATCAGAACAATAAAAATTATGATTAATAAAAAACTGAATTTTATGATATATAAATACAGTTCTTATATAAAATTAACCATCATTTTTATCATCCAGATAAATTAATAAAGTTGGTTATTAATCTGTTTTTTTCTGGTTGACCAATTATTATATGAAATTATTTCCAAAGATTAATTGTGATTATAATTTTTATAACAATAAAAAGCAACGGTATGAAGTTTTGATGATTTTTTGAACTCATTTTGTTCATTACAGATTTTATCAAAAATTAATTGCAAGTTCAGCAAAAAAGTTTTGTTTAGATCCAGAATAGAATATAAAAGTACTCATTTCACGTTTTAAAATATTATGAAGAAAATTTGAGTAATGTGTTTTATCATTTTTGATAATGAAAAAATCAAAAATGGTAATTTTTGCATATCTTTACGTTTTAAGGTCTTCTAAACATTTTGACATTTTTGTTAGAAAAAAATGATGTATGTGTTACTCGATTTGAATAATTTATACAAAATTTCCAAAAGATTTTAAAGTAAAGAAAAAATCAAATTTTTCAAAAAGTTCATTTTTTTTTCAAAAAATTTAAAAATCTCAAAAATTGATTTTTTTCATAGTTAAAATAAAATTGAATCTTTCGTAAAAATTATAATTTTTGTACGGAAAGTTCCAGCAATTTGCCTTAAAGCATGATGCCATGCACCACTTGTTTAACTCTCTTTCAATATTTGGTTCCAAATATTGTAAATAATTACACCAAATATTTTTTTAATATTTTCTATTTTCACACATGTGCTTTTGAACGAAATTATGAAATTCTTAACGAATGTATGAAGATACAGGCTTTTTGTGTTAAACAAACTTGAAATAGATTTCACATGAGCTTGTTATTAGAAAAACTTTTCTACATCTGTTTATATAGATATTATTTGCAAATAAGAAAACCGCAGTATTATTACATTAAATTGTCAGATTTCATGTTGAAGAGATTTAGATAGAAACTGCGCTCGTTTTGATTGACATATTTTATATTTATTTCTATTGGTGAGGCGAACAGGTGTTTTAAGTTGAGGAATTCACACTTTTCAAACACAATGTTTCTCTTGAACAATTTCTTGAATTATAATAATTGATATAAAATTCAATCAAATCGCATTTCATATTTTTTTTATAGTGTACGAGTACTTCTTCGAATCTGAAAAAGCAATCCTAAAGGTTTTCAAGTTTTAAAATTTTAAGTCATTTCTGAACTCAATTACTATTGTCAAATATTCTTTCTTAAGATCAAAGATTTTTTTTATGAATTAGCAGATATAAATATATCTGAAAATATATATTTTAAATGTTAAAAAAAATTATTTTTCATAAGAATTATTACTAAATTCATGTCCTACATTTTGATTCACAGAACAAACATTCCATCAGTTTTACATCTCTAACAGCAATCTTCAACAATAATTATGTGATTAAGAGATTAAGTACTTCATCTTTTTCCTCATAAAGATTTTAAATATATGATGTCATTTATAGCATTTGATCTAATTATAAATCCTATCTCAAAAGTAACGGATTTTATTTGCAAACATTTCTATACGTCGAATTTCAAATTATATTCATAACGGTTTATATTTATAACGTTTGTCGCAAATACCAGAACTTCTTAATTTCCATACAGGAATGACAAGATGATGATATTGTTCCATTTGTCATTGATCATTTTATTTTTATGCATTTATCTTCGGAAAGAAAGTTAATTAATGAAGAAACTGGCGCTTGGGGATAAAAATTGTGAACGGAATTGATTTATGGGCAATATTTTTTTGTTTTTGATATACATTCATTTAACATAACACTCTATATTATTGAAATATGTATCAGTTGAAATGATACATATATCATATCATACATATGAAATCTATAATTTTTCTGTTTTGATAAACAAAAGATTTTGGCAACAGATAGATTTTGCATAGCCCAGAGCTGTTTTTAGTTCATGGTAATGAAACAAATTCATTTACTATTTTCCGGTGTAAGTATTTTTATATTCGAAAGTTTTAATAAGTAGTCTAATTACGGATTAACATTTCCACTCGCCTTGTTGACTTTCATTTCAATCAATATCTACATTTTTGTTATTATCTTAAATTAACAAATAACCATCAAAGTTGTCTATATTGTCTATAACTCACTACTCTCAATTAAATTCTAGTCGTTCCAAATTAAACTAAATCTAATATAAATTAAACTTTCAATGAACCTACTTAATTTTTCAATCCGTCTTGCGTATTTCTGCTTACCTCATTGCTAGATAATTACCGAGTAATCTGATTTAATTTTCTCGAATGATTTAATTCGGACGCTGATGATGATGTTAATTTAAATTGATAAAAAAGAGAAGTAAAAAGATATTTATCATTATGGCTGGTTACAATTGCTTTGTAATCTCATGGTGATGAGACGATCTGCTTTTTTATTTCTTTCTGGGCGCCGACCCATTTCATCGCTTGATAATGATAATGATTCTCAAACTTAGATAGCAGAAAATGTGAAAAAAATTGTAAACATTTAACTAAATCTTTAATTTATAAAATTTGACATGTTATGACAATATTTTTTCTTATTATTATCTGATCAAGGCTGACTCGGATTGCCACATTACTCCCCTTTCCGTGCCTGAGACAGATTCATTGTAGAAGTATTTTTGTACTTTTTTGACAAGGTATCAATCATTTTCATTGGTAAAACTACATCGTACTATAACATACTCTGATAAAAAAAAATTTAATTAATAAATTTTTTAAAAAAATCTACTCCTTATAAATGTTGTATATAACTATCTCCAAAATTTTGACAATCAATTCATATTAAATATACACAATTTTTGTCTTATCTATTCATGATGTGATGATTTATCTGTTAATGATAAGAGATGTCTTTTAAGCAGATCTTGGTTTGGAAACCATTGATTTACCAGGAAGTCCAGCAAAGTGACGACTATCCAACATAAACCATACTGTACCTACGATTTACCATGTACCGTGAGCCGATACCGGTGCGTTCGACTTTCTTCACAAACCGACGGAGCGAAATTTTAATGAGATAGCTGGTAAAAGATTTACTTTTTATCAAGAACTAAAAGATTTATAAAGTAGTATATAGCAACTAAAGGTAAGTTATAACTTTATTATATTTATAATGGACAAGGATAATCCTGGACAAATATTGCTTCTAGAACATCCCAGGACACATGGTGGTAATCCGGAACATACAGTAGAAATCCAGGACATACAGTAGAAATCCGGGACAAACAGTAGAAATCCGTGACTTCTCCGGTCAAACCGGGACGTATGGTCATCTGAGAATAGATCAATATCTTACAGGAATAAGTACGAATTATATTTAGGAAAATAAATTTAGCTAAATTAATTGCTTATATTCAAACTAATTAGACTAGGGTAGTGTAAATGCAATATAATCTTCAAAGAATACTCAAAGTGATTTATAGATTTGTATGTAGATAATAAATATTATATAAAAATGAAACCGTCGATATTTGAACACATCAATAATTCGGTATGCAAACAAGTATGTATATTGTATGTCAATTTTCATTCAGAAGAAATATTTCTTTTTTTCTACCAGCTCTCCCATTATCGCGGGATCAGCGTCGCCACGACTTCTGCCCATCGGGTTCGTGCGCTCTGCTCATGTAGGTACAAGACCATAACGGAAATCTTAAACTGTTGAAGAAATGACCGGTTTTAGAGAGCTCCATTGTTTTTATAAGGCAAGGTAATTAACAATCATTATTTTCAATGAAGATTTTTTATGTGTCCTGGAAGCGCCGTTGCCAGTAGAGTTTTAGTTAATTGTCAATCACTGACAATATGGTGAGAAATATATGCTAAATCATGTACAAAAATTACTAGCAAAAATCATACAGACGTTAATAATAATGATTATTTATATATATATATATATATATATATATATGTGTGTGTGTGTGTGTGTGCGTGCATGTGTATGTATGCATATGAGTAAAATGTCCTATATGTTAAAAAACTGTTTTCTGGCATCCATCTAGCTATTAAATGAAAAACAATGCAATCTCTATTTGGCTCTACTTAAGGGCAATACAAATATTCCACATATCTTAACAAATACCAATAAACATCTATTTTGTACAACTAAAATATAAAAACAATTTTTATCATATTAGAGTAATTTTATTAGAAATTAAATATAATAATAAGATTATATTAGATAATTCGGTTAGATCCTTATACTGGCTATTCGTGCATAACTTCAAGCTATCCCTAAATAATAAAGTTCTGATGTACATAGTCTCCATAAACCCGTTTGGACCTATGGGGTTGAGCTTTGGGGAGGAATCAGTAAATCACGTATCAAGTCCTTACAAGAAAACAGTCAAACATTTTTGAACTCATCTGCTTCTGGTATGGGTCAATCTTATATATTTATCTCTCTATTTATCTATATCTATTATTACTTATTATTTATTTATCTATATCTCCTGAAAAATATTGAAAAAGTAAAGAGTAAATATAGTAAATAAGAAGTACAACATATTTTGGCCGGTTTTATAAACATGTAAATACTACCGTTGCTGTCGAATCCTCAAGAAGAAGTAACTAGTAGATCTTCTTTAAGGAAGTAGTGATCCTCAATTGAGGGTTATTTACCAAGTCCATTTTTTATACTCAAGTAACGGACAACATGTTATGATTAATTAGACAATTAGACGTAAATAATATATATAGTTATGAATTCAAATTTTGATTAAATTAAATTTTAAAAATGTTCTCAAACCTAACTTGTTTTACCTATTAATAATTAGATAGATGCCTATAAAATCTTTTCCGTATATATAAATTATATATGCATGAATGTCAATAACAAAAAATCCAAATTACAAATATATTTTAATTGCATAATTTTTAAATAAATATCTGATTTGATGGAATAATTCAAACTTTATGACGATTTCGGTTATTCCAAAACACTAATATATTAATTCTGTAACGTAATAATAATATAGTGAAAAAATTAATGAATATATATTTCCTAAAAAAAATTAACTCATCATCTTACAATTACTTGAGCAGAAACTAATTGATAATAGGAAGAACATCTAATTGACCATTAAAAAGTTTGGAGATGTATGCCTTACGGGATGCGCCTGTGTGTGGGTCATGGTCGTTCGCCGTGAAATTTCAAGTCCAAGAGCAAACGCACGAGTGCGAAGAAAGATTGAGATGGCCAGCACGATGGAGCATATCGACGGGCGGCTCGAATCTCTCCCGACGGCGGCAGCGTTCCGCGGCTCGCATTTCATTCCCGTCGTCCGACAGGCGAAGATCTCATTAATATATAACGCGTCTAAACGACCATGATCCAACACGCGAAAGTGTGCTTAGTTGTCAGAAGATAACTTTTTCCGCCTTCTTCCCGATCCGGGGTCAGTGTTATGTGGTAATAAGTGTTACAAATTCCTCCAGTGACAATGGCAAAGTTCCAAAATATGTGTTATTTGTTGTTTTCTGCTAAAGTTTTGGGGACCATTATTTCTTTTAGTGTTTGTGTGTTAGCAGATGATTTGGACAACTTTAGTTTTAACAATGGACGTTTAATTAATGATTTCTTCTACGAAAATCAAGATTTGAGCGCGCTGCAAGTTGATGATTGGGAGGATGAGGAAAGCACGGTGGAGGATAAACAAGCTCATGTGCGGACAGCGCTTTTGAACGCTTTGAAAGACGGAAAGCAACTCAGGAGATTTGCGGAAGTTTTACCAATTATTCGAGTAATGAGTTCACCGCAAAGGATAGCGCTTGCAGCTTTAGTCTCGGCGCAGATTGCTCACGAGAAGGAAGGAACTGAAGGAAATGGTCTGAGTTTGCCACAGGTAATTTAACAAGTTATTATTCATCAATTAATCATAATGACCCATATAAAGCGTGCAAATATCTTCTCGTGTAGTGAAAAATACAAACAGCACTTCAATGGTCACTGACTGCGAAAGACACATCTGAAAGGAGATGTGATCACCTACTTTTTATAAATCTCTGGGAATATAGTAACAGAGTTTCACAGGTGTAATTGTTGGGAATTGTTCAATTTTGTTGATTAACTTGAGTACACAAACAATACATAATTTTTAGTAAATTGGTCAAATTCAACTTTCCTTTAGTGTTTGAATTTCTATTTTCACAAGCAAAGTAAAATAATTCAACCCTCTATGAGCGCTGGTCACTTTCAGGTTTGATTACATTTTTTATATCATACCAAATATTTATGTTTTTTTTTTCATAAGATGACGCATAATTCTGAATTCTTTAACATTGTCAAAAAAACAACATCAATATTAATGACTAATGCTAGGATTTTCAACCAGATATAACATTTTTATACACAATAGTGTGAACATTATAGGCTGATGTTATTTGAAAGTCACAAAATTCATTAATACCAAAAAATTGGTTTAAACAGTGTTATTTGTTTTTTTATTTTCATAATTGCAATTTTTTTATTCCTATATTTTTTCGGCCCAAAAAGGGTTCACAAAAAAAAATTCACTAAAAAGTTTGTAGCATATTTGGACACAATATTTTTTTAACTTCCCGTAGGGTAAGTTATTGTAATGTGCCGAAAATCGAAATTGAAAATTTTTACATTTCTCGACGTTTTCAAGGTTTCTGAACATTTTGGCAAACCTCAGAAAAAATGGATGTGTGTGTGTGTATGTATGGATACAAATTTCCAGTCACGTTTTCGGCCGCACGAATCAACCGATTTTTATGGTTCAAAAAACATTAGATTCCTATTGATAGGGAGAAGAGCTGATTAGTTTTTGGCAAAGGCAGGTTAAACAGTTACGGAGATGAAGAGCAAAGTGTGCAGAAAATAAAAATCGAGTTTTTGAGAGAACGGAGTATCCGATTAGAATGATCTAAAAAACATTCAATTAGTAATGATTGGGAGATATTCCGAAGATACGGAGCTAAATGTGTAAAAAATGGCAGTTTTTGAGAGAACTAAGCGTCCGATTTAAATGATTCAAAGAACTTTCTGCTTGTCGTAACAAAATAATTGGTTTTGGAAAAAAAAATTGTTTCAACTTTTTTTTTTCAAACAAAAATTTTTTTTGTGTATCGAAAATAATTCAGATTTTATTTTTATTTCTGACTATAGTTCTAATATACTTTAAACAAATAATTTCAACTTTGCAATTCAGTTTATATAATTTTTATAAATATTAGACAATGTTACAATATTAATAATAATCCATTTAAAACATTCAGTATTACTCAAAAATTTTGTTACGGTACGGGAAGTTCCAGCAATTTGCCTTAAGGCACGATGCCATACACCCCACTAGTTAATTCTATTTCTTCAACATCAAAATCTAGCTAACAAGCGTGTGAAATTTTCAATCTCTAAAGCTATAAATTTTGTATCTATCATTCTATAATATAATCACCAAAAACAACGTGCTAATTTCTTAACATTCTAAGCAAATTTCTATCTAGCCTACATAAAAAACATGCGCATAAATTTGTTATTGCTCACTTAATTAAGACACCTTGTCTCTGGGTCTAGATCAAATGTGATAGTGATATATGTCAAATAAAAAATTAGCATTTTATAAATGGCACTCAGTCAAAATTACTAGATAACTTTCTATTGAGATCTTTATCGTTTTAAGACGCTAATCAAGTGTCTGTAGTTTAAATTAGATGTGCTCTAATATAATTGGCATAGAAATGCAGGTTTAAATCAAGAATAACTTGTTTAGTGATGTTTTGTTGGAGGATCCAAATATATTTTTTAAATACCATTAAAAATAAATTAGTGCAAGGTTACGAGCTTGCAGCAATTTTACTTGTTTTATCACCGATCAATATTAGTAGTATTTGGTATAAAAATAATTGCCTCAACATAGAACTAATAATAGAAATTCACTTTACAAATTATGAAGCATAAATATGATGTCACCTAAATGCATTATTTTAATTTTTGGGAAGTAATCTTCCGAACAAAGGAAAATAAATTATTATTAAACATGTTCAACAACTTGATGCATTTTTTGGATTTATTGTTTTATTGTATGCCATTGTAATAATGTGGTGCATTAAAGTGCATATTACACAATAAAAATTTATTTTTCCGAGTTGAATTTTCTGTTTATACATGCATTACAATTGAATATCTTTGTATCATTTTTGCCTTGATTTTTTTATTTTTAATATTAATTTTATTTTAATATTTTAATAAAAATAATTTAAAACAACAGGCTAAAACTTGTTTTAAAATTTAATTAAACAATGAAACAACTACAATGAGTTGCTAATTAAAATTAATGTGTAAATATTATCTTAAAATTTAATTATCACAAACTTGACCTTTTTACGCCACACTTTGCAGACACTTTTAGATGTCATACATTTATAAAAGAGTCTTCTTCATGGTTGTTTGGCCTTTAGTTGCACTTGAAACTTTCGAATCGTTGTCTCTGATGCTTTTACAAATATAAGGACAGAATAATAAACGCATTCACTCCGCCGGATCACAAATGGGATATCATTCGGGACATCGCGTTCGCACGCTGAGAAGATGATTGTGATATCAATTGTGAAAGAAATTTTATAACAAAATTTAATGGAGATAAGTAGTTCTTGGAAGTTAGACTTTTAACATGTTTCATATGAATCTTTTATAAATTAGTCACATGCAGATTTTGTGATACACTGCATCAAGCATAAGCAGCTCTTTATGGGCTTTGTTTCATTCTTATACACTTTATCTATACAATACACCTATTTTTTCACATATAATTTTACTATGATATAGAACTATGTGTTTACTAATATCATTCATATCGTTAAAATTGCACAACATTCAGAAAAGTTTTTTTTTACTATCTCTTTATTTACAACTGTCCAGTAAAGGGCATTCAATAAATTTGATGAATTTACAATAATCGAAAAGGGACTTTGTATACTACAAGGGCATGTTGGAAAAAACAACTCAGTAGCTGTTTTTCCATTCGATATAAAATTCACAATATTTTATTAATAATTATATAATTTTTACTATTTACTTATTAAAAAATTTCTTATAAATAATGATTAAGTTATTTCCATTTTTTATCAGGAGAGTTGATGGCTTAAATTCAGTGGCGCTTTTCTTTTCAATCTTCTTGGATAGTTCTCTATTATCAAGGAGTTTGCTAATGAATTTGGGTGACTGATTAGCTTGTTTCTATACTTGTGTTCTGTTTTTTTTATTACTTCATTTATGGTAGGTGCATTCGTGTCGACATGAATCAACCAGTTGGGAACATATTTTGGAGCTCCTAAGGCAATTTTCAAAAATTTGTTTTGAAATTTCTATATTATATCTATATTAGCCCACAATTGTATACCATAGCACCAAATTGGTTTGAATAATAATTTATATAAAAGTAGCTTATTGTATGAGCTTAGTTTGGATTTAGTCCCTAGTAACCAGTAAAGCTTTTTGAATAGTTTTTTTTATTTTTTTTTTATTTTAATTCTGCAATCTATAAAAATAATTATATTTAGCAGAGAATGCTGATAAGTGTTTACAATTGGTTTTTGAATAGTTGAAGTAATTTTTATAAGCTGCCGGTCTAAACTTTCATTATTATGACAAATGAGGAAGTAGAATAAAAACAAATAAAAAATGAAAAATATAAATGTAACTTATTACTTATTTGTTTATTAGTTAATTCTTCACTGGAAAATTTTTTGTTTATTTTTTTAATATAAAAGCAGAATAACAATCACATTTATTCGGGACATCGCGTTCGCACGGTGCGAAGACGATTGTGATATCAATTATGCACAAAATTGAAGAAATCGGTGTTTTCTATACGACTTTGAGAACCGTGTGAATACTGTAATATATAATTATTTTAGAAGAAATTTAATTCTATAGGCTGTGCAATGCGTGACCAAAGCTATTTGCTAGACATGTGAATAAATAAAAATTATAATTAATCAATTATTCTAACAGTAACTGTCAAGTTCCCAAAACATGACTAAAACCGAAATCAGACTTGTATTTTCATAATGACATTTATAATATACATCATTCGTCATACTATATGGTAAACCAGTCTACATTAGATTAGATTGTTGATTTCGATTTTTTATTTGTTATATAAAATAAGTAAGAAAGTGAGTATCGAAAGACTTGCATTTTCACTTTCAAACTTGATTGAAGAAAATAATGCACTTTGCAATGTCGGTAACTAATGATATATTGATTTGATATATTATATGATATTATTTTAAAAGTAACTTTATTATATATATATATATATATATATATATATAATTAAGAAAAAAGATATAATTTTGCTTCAAAGTGAGACTTGTATATAATCCAAGTCAGGTAAAATGCCAATACGACAAAATATTAGGCTTATGAAAATAAAATTTAAAATAATATAGACAACAATGAATTTCAATAACTATATTGATATAAATATTAATATTTTGATCATTTTGTTATTCTGTAATTAAATTTGTAATTACACCATATTACGAATTTAAATTTTTGAATATTTATAGAAAATCATTTGTTTTACTTTTAAACTAACCAATTTTGATTTCTGATCCTGAATTATGAAATTGTCGTTTTGGAGCAATCTTTACGTAAAATCAAATCCAACATACTAAATTCTTGAATGGCTTAAAATTATCTATAACTATCTTAGTAATAATTAATAATTATCCCTCAACAAACTAAATTTTTAAATGTGTATACATAAAACTACATTTTTAATCGTATATTGATATCATTCCAATTAATATTAACACAAATATATAATATATTTACAAAAGATAATATATTTATTTCCAAATTGTATACACGATTTAAACTTTTATTTGGTAAAAATAAAAAGCAAAATATTTCTACAAGTTCAAACGCATAAAACTATAAAATATTAAAAATATTGTGAATTTTTCAATAATGATATGAAATCCATTAAATATTTCTGTCACATAATTAAATTTGTATTTAAAAGTATTAGGTTGATAATAATATTTGTGATGAAATATGTGAATCATAATCTTCGGGATAATAAAGACAAAATAATTTAAATAACATTTTTTATTACCATCTATTTTGACAAAGGGTTCTATATCATCTTTAGTGGAATTTAAACTTGAGCGACTCTAATTAACTATAATATATAACTATAGTAACATTTCTACAAAAGCAAAAATAATCTAGTTTCAAAAAATAATCTGGTTTTAGTTATTGTCAATTTTTATCAAAATATAGATTAAATATGCAAACACATGGAAGTGCGTAAAGCACTAATCAAGTTCTGATTTTTGTCAATTTTTATCAAAATGTAGATTTAATATTCAAACACTTCGAAATACATAAAATAAGAATAGAAGAGTTTTATATAATCTTTATTATTATCATTTATTTCGACATATGATCCTATGTCATCTTAAGTGTAGTTCAAACTTGAGTGGCTCTAATTAAATGTAGGAACATTTTCACTATAACTAATCTAATTTAATTCTAGTTTTTGTTTTAAAAACTAATCTGATTCTAGTTTTTGTCAATTTAAATCTTAATATATGATGAATATTCAAACACGAACTAGAAGTACAACATACTTTTGGTCAGACCTCCGAGACGGCAGACCTAAAACTGTTCAAACTGTTATTGATTGATATTAATATTCATTCTAAATTAGTCATGCGATATTCTTCTTCCCTCAACTAAAATTATGAAATTTAATTATGTCCTTTCCCAGGTGCGCAGGATGTTCGGAGATGATCCAGAGCTGATCCTTCCAGTGACTTTGGACATAGCCAACTTAATCCGAGACACCACTCGTGCCAGAGGTCGGTCAATCGCTTCAGAACATGAATTTGTTCCAAATGCACAGGCACTTCGAAGGATGCTCGAATTGCCTCACAAGGATAACAACGAGGACGATGACGAAGACGAGGATGAACACATAGGAGAAGTCCTGGTCACGTCAGGAGATGACAGAGATTTGTCTAATGAAGTGATACTTGGGAATAGTACAAATATAAGAGACAATTTTCGGGATTTTAAACCGCAGTTTGATGATAGGTAAGAGAATCAAACTTTGTAAATCAATACTGCTTTTCTTGTCTTATTTTTTTTATTTACTATTCAATTTTATTTATTTTTAATATCGAGGAGCTAGGGGCTTGTTCTAACAGCTTTTTGTTTACATTGATATATCTTGAGATTCACTGATTATACTTTCACGAAATGAAGATGAATAGGTACTGTAGCTATTATTTTGTTGAATCAAGTAAAAAGAATTCCATAACTATTGTTCATTATTTCACAATTAATCGTTTTTTAGAAATAGTTCGGTATTATGGTAATACATCTAGCCCCACACTTACATGGGAGCATTATACACGTTTACATTCATTACTTTCATTCAAACCTTTGATGATTTATTCTTTGCTTATTTTTGAGGAAGTTGACTTGTTTCTAAAAAATTGTTTTCATACATTTCGACGATTTTTATGATTTTTTTGACGGTAAATATCATAGTCTTCTAAATCATACTAAAATATTACCGCCCTACGACAACTCGTTTAGCTTTTAAAATTCGTCAAAGTTTGCAAAAATTGGTATCGTTTTTTTGGCATTTGTCCAAATTAGACCTTTCATCGACGTTTGCTCAAAAACGCCTGAACCGATTTCAGAAATTTAAAAGTTATTCGATATATCTCAATGAGCAATGAGCTATGAGTTTGTTAGGCAATCTGCCGAGCCGTTTCTTTTTAGTTTGAAAAAGAGTGTTAAACTTTTCATCCACATTTAAGCTCATTCTACCGAATCGATTTTAAAAAATCAAAAACTGTTCGAAAGATATTAATTGGAAATAATACTGATTAGTTTTAGGTGAAAATCTACCGAGACGTTTTCTTGTAATTAACTGTTGAAAGAAAATTTAAACCGATTTTTATGAAACTTTCTTTGGCAATGTATATCATGGTCTTATAGAACTTACTGAAATATTACGGTCTTACGACAGGTAGTTTAATCTTAAAAATTTATCAAAGTTTGAGAAAATGAGTAGTTTTGTTGACGTTTGTTAAAATTAAAATTAGATGATTTACTTGGTATAAGGATAGATTACTTGGTCTTAATGAACATACTAAACCATTAACGTCCTACAAAAACTGGTTCAATTATAAAAATTATTGATTTGTGAAAATTTGCTTTCAGAAAATACTCCGAGTTAATTAACATGTTCGTTCGTTTTCAATTATGTGTAATAAATCCTGTGGGATTACTTTTAATCACTCATAAATTAATTTGATTATTATTGATTAAGTCGATTATTTACACATATCGGGAAGTTAATGTAACTTGACTTAAGGCTAAATACCAACACCAACTAGTTTTTCATGTATTTGTTCGGGGTTTCATGCTTGTAAATAAATAGTAAAAAAAATCATCTTATACTTTAGTATGATCTTTGATGGTTATTGTTGCAACTTTTATGTTTCATATGTCCTTGTATTGGATAATAAATAAATATATATATACATATATATATATATATATATATATATATATATATATGAGTGAGTTCTTGAGGGCGATACATCAAACAAAGATGTATCAAACAAAGATTCTTTGTTTGATGTATCGCCCTCAAGAACTCACTCACATATTTCAACATCAAATTAACTACTAAATCATATATATATACACGTATATATATATATATATATATTAAAAAAATATATTACTAAACATCAATAATTGTTTAAATAATCATGTAATTTAGCACTTGTCATAAATCATGATATTCATATCAAAGTATTTAAGCCTTGTACATGTTTACAAATTTTAAATATGGATTTAGAAATCTTATTTGCAAATAATAAAAATTAAATTTCAACGCGAATAAGCACGCGCTTTTAAATAACACCAACATGAGAAGGTCACAAATTAGTACGTACATATTTTAGAAATTCATCTATTCGTGTTTGGTACTAATAAACGTATAAAAATATCTTGTAATAGATAAGCTTTTAAATAAATATTTTGATATTTTTCATATAAATATGTAATTTATGCAAGCTAATTGATTCATTGCATAATTCACATGTAATTGACAAATCTGAAATTTTTAACTAATGCATGTAACTTACATATTTTTTATGTTTTCCAGTCTAACAATGAGAAAAAATGCCACAGAAAGGCCGAAGCCAATTAAATTGGCCAAGGACCAACTGGCCATGCCTTCTGATGATATGCATATGGTTGTGGCTTTGCTTCCATCAAATGAGACATTAACTTCTTTCAATGGCACCAACGAAGATCTTCCTCAGGCAGAACAACTTAGGTGGCATAAGCGACCAATTCCTTTCAAACCGGTAAACAATAATTAATTGATATATAATTTATAAAAAAAATCTAATATTGTGCTATTGAATTTAATATATGTGATCAGTCAGAAATAGGCAAAGTGCCATATATTAATATTTATTTATTTATTATTTATTTTAATTAAATTTATATCTATTTGGGATAGATGTAAAAATTGGTTGTTCAATTTAAAATGTATTGCTAAAACAGTGTGTTATATCATTGAGCTAAAAATACTTATGTACCGATGGTTTTCGGTTAAAAAAATATTTAGTCACTATATGGATTATACTATGTATATAAATTTTTGGTTGGCCAATAAAGTTAACAATAACATTATATAAAAGTTTTTGATTTATTCACATCTTGGTCATTTTTAAATCATCTTCCAAAACATCACTTCACTTTTCTGTCTTTTGTTTTTTCAAATTGATTTGGACATCAACATTGGAAACTGCTCAATGGTTTCTTGAAAAAGCTAGGGATGAGAAGACGACATAGACTATACTGACAAACATTACTATTAAATTATACATTTTGTTGAATTTTTTATGGTTTTCATGATAAACTATAAATATCTTTTATCATTCATATTGTAATCATATGAGTGTATTATTAATTTTCAGAACCATTTTCGTCGACCTGGATTATCTCACATTGCAAACGATTTACTTAACAGTGATCAAAAAGCATTGAACTGCTTCTCTAGATCTTTGTGTTTATCCACGGATGATTATCCCATGTGAGTAATATATTTTCTTTTTTTTTAATAACTTGTACATACAGGTAAATAAATTTCAAATAAAAATAAAAAAACTGATAAAAAATATTTTACTGCTCATTTATGGTGGAAAGCTATACAGTCTTATACGATAAACTATTAAGATTTGTTTTTCAGATAAAAATCATTTATATATTAACAATAAATTGTAAATGGTTATATATTTGCTCTTTAATTACCCATGCAACCTAAATGTTTACCAATAGTACTCTGATTGTTTTGTAAAACCAAAAAATATAATTGATTTAGAAAGTCATATGATTGTGAATATTAATATTCAATAATTATTTAGAGCTTTCGCTAATACGTGTAGTATATCATATTTAATATGTTATTACATTATTAAAGTTTAATTATAATTTATGTACTTATGGTCATATACTCATCAATAATAATTTGCTACTTTATATTTGTTTTTTTTTTTAATTTAAGGGATTCTATAAAAGCGAGTATTCGCAGAAATAAAAATGCAATGGCAGCCCTAATTGTTGAATATCGAGATAAAGACGATGAAATTCAAAATATTGATCTCAGTGATAAACCTGATTTGGACCGGTAAGTAATAACTTTTACAACATAATTGTCATTGTCCATAATTATTACAATTTTTCAAAATAGTTTCTTAACTTCATACTGCTACTCATTCTTAGATATCTGAAATAAATATTGTTAATTTAGTCAATACCTATTTATATATTATTTTTAACTTCTTGAAGGAGAAGTTTGTTTTCATAAAAAATCAAATTTGTTAATTTTATGTATTTTCGACGTTTCAAGCCATTCTAAATCGATTGAGACCAAATTTGGAAAAAGTATGCATGTGTATGTGTGTATGTGTGTGAATAGATTTTGTACCTCAAATCGACGTTTTCTTAAAATCGACTGGACCGATTTTTATTATGCCATAAATCAATAACTTCAAAAAGTCAAAATCTCCAATTTAAAACTGACTTACATTGAAAAATTGCGAATATTTCGTTTAAAAGTAAAACTTTCCAGTGTATTAATTATTTTTGTTTTTTTTTTTATTTTCATTTTCATTATTTTCAAAATAATATTACCCTTACAAGTTTTGCCTGAAGGCATTTGATTTATGATAAGTTATATCTAAGTATATAATATTAATTATGAATATATTTTTACAGACTTGGAGAAGAAGGAACAAATTCTGTCCCTGGTACCATGTGCCCCTCCATTGTGAGGTACGCAAGGCCCCAAAAAGCAAGAAGTGCTACTGGACACTGGAAATATGTTGTGAATACTGGAGAACATACTCAAACTTTGAGGCTGGAAAAATGCAGGTAATATAATAATTTTTGACTCAATCTATTCTACTTTTTGTGCTATTTTAAACTTTAATTGTACTAACAACTTGCACTTAAACTATTATCACTTTCAAGTTGATTATCAATTTTTTGGTGCTTGGTTGAATTTTGAAGAAAATATTAATTTTGTATCTAAATTTATAAATATATCATTATCACTATTAAATATGAATTTGTTGTATATAAATAAATATTTTTAAGATGTGGTAATATTATACTATTTATCTAGCCGCCCCAATGAACCATGTACCTATTTGACTGACAACTTCAAGTCCAGATGTGTACAAGTGTACAATTACCATCGACTACTAAGTTGGGATGCAAACAGAGGACTTCATGTAGATATATTTAAGGTAAAAAATACCTCAATCCCAAATTAAAAACAATTTTCATATACGAGCACAAATATATGTCTGCTATCAATTAAATAAATTTATGGAATGTTATCCATTTTATCTTCTAGATTCCAACCTGTTGCTCCTGCCACATCGACGACTACAAGATTGCCTATCCTCCAGTATCACCACAGAAGGAAACCACCAGAGAAGTATTTCCAGGAAAAGATTATAGCAACGAAGCTGACGAATACCAAGATGACCATTTAGGTGAAGACACACAACTTTATGAAAGAGATGTAAACCAGTTCCACTTCAGTCCTACAAACACTAATAAAAAATATAATAAAAATAATCTTGGTACTCGTGGTTTGGATACAAAACATAGACCGACCTTAATTCGTGATTCCGAGTTTGAGTCCATGATGGAAGATCCTGAAACGACTACACAGACTTATAATATGATCAGTATGTATCCTGTATCAACTGGACGCAGGAAGCCTACGAAAATCAAGGTTTGCCCAGCTTTTTAGAAGCTCCTAAGCCTCCAAGAACCAGGTTTCCGTCGAGTCACAAAATAATTCCATTGACTTCTAACAATTATAAAAGAGGTGTTGGTTCTTTTAACACTTTTGACTTTAGTAAGCGCAATGTTAGAAGACCATCGAGATATAACGAGCAATTTCCAGCTGATTCCATGTATGACAGCAGTGAAGATAAATTAAATCATTTTACTATGCAAGGTTATGATATCACCACTGATATGTATGACAGTATGCAAAAATCACCACCTTGGCAAAGAATGGTTCACACAATACCTAGGACTACACTTCTTCAAACAAATCCTACAAACAAAAGGATTTTGTATGGTAGGACACCAAATATCAAAGCTACGACAACCACAAGGCCTGTGATGAAGCATAATTTAGATCACCTTACCACCAAGGTAAGGATTCCTACCAGAAGTACAACTGAATTGCCTTTTGAATACGATAACGATTATAGTGAGGAAAAAGATAATAAAAGAAATGAAGATGATAAAAAGAGGATAAATTATAATTATCATCCTATAATTGAATTCTTTGATGGGGTTTCAAAAAAACGAGGAGCTGAAAGTAGATCGGGTGACAGTGATATTCTTTCAAGTGGGGAGACTGATTGGCGACCCATGACAGCACCTTAGGATAGTTTAAGGGACACATTTTAACGTGCAATATTTTCAGTCAGCATTTTTAATAAAAATAATTACTCACAACACAAAACCACATGAGTTTTATAGGGTTTCGTATATGAAGTATCCAAACGCATCATTTTTCTAGAAGTTTTTCTTGAAATTTTTAGAAAAATATTTGGGGTATGTAGAGAAAATTGTTTTGTTAGTTTTTACTAGAGATGGCAAAGGTAGATCAAATTTTGGCAATTTAATTACTATTTCCATTCATTTATTACATATAATCCTCAAACTGAACCTTCGAAGCCCTCAGTGTACAAATTCACTGTGCACTTGACTGTATTTTCATTATTAGATAAAGTGAAAGTACTCTAGATTATTATTTCAAAAAGTATTATAATTTATATTAAATAGTGTATATATTTTTATGAATATGATAAGTAGAAGTAAAAGTTTTATATCTCAAGCAAATTTATTTAATAATTCAGCTCTCTCAAATAATTTATTCGGCTTTGAGATATATAAATTTATTTTTGTATTTTAAATTTTAATAGATATAAGTTGTTATTTATGTTATATTGTTTTAAGTTCACAGATTTCAATGATTTATTTATTGAGTTTCATGTTAGCATGTAGCAATAGACAAAGTATTTTGTATTGCCATAATGATAAGATGGAGCTTTTTGTATAAAATTTAAAAATAAAATTTTAAAACTTACTTAAAATTATTGAAATGTAAGTAATAAAAGTTAAAGGTTATAAACTAAATCAAATCTAAATATTTTGCTAAGATTCATAAACCTAGTTTGACCATTAGCAGGTAAGTATAACAAAATTGTTTTATCTAAGTATGCCATTGAAAAAACAATATTGGTTGAAACATTTTAATACATTTGTCACTCATATTTTTTTAGTCATATGACATTCATAATCATGATTTTTTGGATTTATTTTGTGTTTGCAGGAATTTATAGCGCAGATGCAAATGGAGGTATTTACACACATTCTTAGTTCATTTTGTATTAATAATTATAACCAATTATAAATATGTTTCCAGAATATTTCAGACTACTATTGAATGATACGGATTTATCAAATTACGATCGAAATGATTTATGGGAACATCTTCAAGATGAACTTGAATTGAGGGATATTAAAACTGTTTCTGTAAAGAAGCATCCTATTCTCATTCCACCAGCACTGGTTATACCGATTTGCTTACAAGTAGGAATAAATTAATAAATTTTAATTATATACTTCAAAAAGTACAATATAATTGTGTAGTATAAACTGTACATTATAAATCAATCACTAAAATTATAAATATAGTTATTGCAACATTACAGAAATGCGCCTAGATCGTTGTTGATTGTTCTGAATTTTTTTATTGTACAACAAAAATATTTTTTGTTAGTGTATATAACTATTTTAAATTTGTTTTAAATCTAAAATTGTATTTTTTTATCATATGCACATACAATTTTATCTACAAATATTTAATAAGATGATAAAAAAATAAATGAGTAATTTCCAATCACATCCCCGATAGAAATAAATCGTGGCCGGGGGGGTTGAAAATCGTGGCGCAACATTCAAATCTTGTTTTTAGATGCATCCGACAATATTTGTTTTAAAAATTATAGAAAATTTGGAAAATACATGGTAGAACTGTTTTCTATGGTTTATTGCAAATACAAAACTTGTTTCTCATCTTATTTACACGTCTAACTTTATATTTACACGAATTATACATAATTTTAAATGTGGGTAAATTACATAAATGGGGGCGTAATAGGATCATTTACTGAGCCAATCACGTTGCCAATACGAAATGGTTCAAAATGTTATTTAATTTAAACTAAACACGTAAAGGATAGTGATTGATTTTTAAAAATTTAATTAATTAGAAAATAATAACTTAAAATTAATTCTTGCGCTAGATAAGCTGCAGACATTTTGTTGCACCAAGTTCTTGAATAATTTTTCAAAGTTTTAGAAATTTTGATTCAAACAATAACCAAAATAGTTTGGACTATTATCTACTGATTAAAATTAATATGTTTTCATTTTCAGGGTAGTAAATTTATGAAAGCCATCGAAGAAGTGCAAACCGCCGGGCCTGGCACCGAATGCATACCCGAAGACCTCGCCTGTTTCTTAGGTTGCCTAACAGACAATGGAGATACTGATCAAATCGAAAATCTTATAAATTCTTTGGATGATGAATCACTCATATATAAAATGCAATGTGGAGTTAGTACGACTATTGATTTTAATGAATTTAAAGCATCAGGAAAAACATCGAAAACCAACAGTCAATGTTTTGAAACTCCCATCAATTTGCTTCAAAACATTTTTTGTTGACTGCATCCATAAAATTTTGATAATTGAGGGTTTGCAAAATACTAATGTGTCTTTTGGATTTCAATCAAATTTTGGATTTTAATCAAAATCAACTGTTTATGGTTTCTTAAATCAAGTAAAATTGTAAAAATTTATTAAATTTCTATCAATTCAATATTGCTTCCAGTTAACAAACGATGTATGAACTACCTTACAAGTTTGAAATTGATGAACCAATTCTGCAGACTCGTGTTATGGCAAGGCCATGTTCATTCCAGTTTTCATAGAAATTTATACTTAAAATGCAACTTCACTCATATGTTCTCAAGCCGTATCTCAAAGATAAAGCTATGACAACATCGTTTTTTATCCAAAACGCCTGACTGCACAGCAACCACATAGTATTTGATAGTTTTTACTACCACTTTATATAAAAACTTAGTTTAGTTTAGTACATTTTACTGCAGAATCGGCTCCTGAGTTTAAAAAAATGCAAACAAAATCTTTATAAATTACAAAACTATCACCCATAACACAAAAAGAGTTTGAGTTTGAGAGTTTGCAAAATACTGATGTGTCTTTTGGATTTCAATCAAATTTTGGATTTTAATCAAAATCAACTGTTTATGATTTCTTAAATCAAGTAAAATTGGAAAAATTATTTAAATTTCTATCAATTCAATATTGCTTCGAGTTAACAAACGATGTATAAACTACCATACTAGTTTGAAATTGATGGGCCGATTCTGCAGACAAATAGACTTATGTTATGGCAAGGCCATGTTCATTCCAGTTTTCATTGAAATTTACACTTAAAATGCAACTTCACTCATATGTTCTCAAGCCATATCTCAAAGATCAAGCTATGACAATCACATAGTACTTGACAGTTTTTAGTACCACTTTATATGAAAACCGCTATATAACATAGCCTCGCCATAACGTTAGTCCATTTTACTGCAGAATCGGCTCCTGAGTTTAAAAAAATACAAACAAAAGCTTTATAAATTACAAGTCTTTTGAATAAATTGATCATTTATATTACATTATCAATTATTTTTTGTCATTTTATTCCAGGTTCGTGATTGTGCAGATTGGTGGCAGATTTTCGCTCCTCTCAATCCGATGGCAATACCTTGCATAGAAATGGGCAGGTGTCTTTTGCAAGTGATCTCACAAGCTTGCAAAGAGCCAGTTACGCAACTCATAAAAATGGCTTTACAATAAATTATTTGCGGTGATTGATTCTGAACATACAATTTATTTAATAATATTCACAGATTTCCGTAATTTTCTTATTTATATTTCAAAGAAAAACAAAAATTGCAAAGTAAAATTTGTAGTAATATAAAACATGATTATACTTGGATTCACCGCAAATACCCATAAATTTGCTGTTTAATATAATATGTGTTAAGCTAACATTATTTTATATGTGAAATACATAACTATAAATAAATATCTTCAAAGTCAGTGATTTAAATATTAATTTAGTAAGCAAAGCATCATTATATAACCTGATACTGATGATGTTCTTTTTTTATTTGTTTTATTGGCCTTTATCTACAAAACTTAGCCATATACATTTTTATATAATAAAATTATTAATAAATTATACAATAAAATAATTAAGTAATAATTTTCAAACCAAAGTAAGTTCTTAACAACTAACTTCATATTTTAGGTTTTGATTTTAACAAAAATTCATAAATAACTATTCTTATTACTAATTATTGTTTCTAAATTGAACGGTTTAATTATATCTATAATTTTATCTAAATAATTAAAAAGTGATGATGTATAAGTGCCATTTTTATAAATTTGACAATATATAATACCAATCATTCAAAGTAAATTTAATAAGAAAATTTAATTGTAGTTAATTTAATTACATTAAATTTTTTAATTCAAAGTAATATCTGTAAAAAATACTTTTAACAGAAATAATTAGATTTTTATTTTCTTCGAGATTTTACAACTTTACAAGTTTTGTTGCATATTAATAGTTGTCATTAATTATTTTGTTTAAATTGCTGACTTTTTAGTAATATGGCAAT